CCCATATAATGTGATAACAAACATGACAGGGCTGAGTGTGGGGGGGGGTTCAAAAACGTGGAAGGATGCAATCAGGCTCTAAAGTTATTGAATTCTGTGTTGAGTCCTAAAAGCTGCAGGGTCCCCAAGTGGAAAATGAGATGTTGTTCTTTGAGCTTGCGCTGAGGCTCGCTGGAGCACTTGAGCAGGCCTGTGACAAGTGTTGGAATGGGAGCATGCTGAGTTGAAGTGGCAAGCAACTGGGAGCTTGGAGTAACTTTTCTGGGCAGAGCATAGGTGTTCTGCAAAATGGTCACCTTGTTTTCTCAGTTTTCTTAGCACTTGTTTTTACTTCACATTTCCAACATTCACAGTATTTCACTGTTGTTTTAATTCAAGTTTTATTTTTTACTTAAGCAGAGCTGTTTAGTCACACTGAACATGGTAATCCAATATTGGGTAATAGAATTGTGAACATTAGTTTGGTTTAATTTCAAATTGTATTTCTTGATCCTACCTGTATAAGCTTGCACCCAGAGCTGATGAGGCAGCTTGCATAGTTAATATCTTAAGCATATAGTTGCTCTCCTTCCTAAGACATGCATAGATTTTGTTTAATTACTGAGGGAACAAGAATGCTTATTTATTTACTATTTATTTTTGAACAGAATTTCATTGAAAAAAATTGCTTCTTTGTTTTACTGTCTTTGACACACTGTCCAATCCTTTCAGTACAGCTATCCCACATTCCAATGCTCTTCGCAAAACGATAATGTTTGACTGGTCATGAGCTGTGTTGCAAGAGGTCTATGAATTTAGGTCATTTCATTTGTCTTCATTTTTTGTAGATTTTGCAATATTACTTGAGTTGATTTGATTTTGTTTTAAGCTAGAAGTGTTGATTAAAAAGCTTGTTTTTTTCACTAGCTTTCGTACTAATAAAGGACTTGGATATTCTGCTCATTTTGTGGGAAGTTGTTTGATTGTGACATCAATAAAATCAAAAGGAAAAGGATTTCAGCATTGTGTAAAGTATGACTTCAAGCCCCAGAAGGCAAGTATTCATCACCTGATATACTTATTGTGATTGCAGAAGTTCATCTTTCAAGAAATTAAATTACTTACTATACCCATGTGGACTATGTAATCTCAAAATTCATATGCTTTTTTTTTGTCCTTAACTAACATAATGCTGAGTTTTGAACTGTCTATGCTTAAACCTGGCCACTTATTTGAAGCAACTTTTTCAAACAGGAAGTTTGAACTTATTCATAGGATAGGATCACTGCCTAATGTGTTACTTAACTATACAGATATGTCGAGTCCAAAATGTATTTCGTGTCAGTCTCGACGAACTGCTTGCCAGGATACTAGAATTTGCCTTGGTTGGCAAAGAACCTTACTTAACTGCATGTGCTGGTTTTACACTACTTAAGTAGTGTAGTGTAAATGTGTGAACGTCTGAAGAGCACAATGTTTGTATCCAACTGTGATGCTGTGTTTACTGGGTTGTCAACTTCAGTTGCTCTGGTTCATCTGAATAAAGATAAGGAATGGCTGTTGTTTGCAACTGTGTCTCAGTGTTACCTTTCGGCTTCAAGCAAAGAAAAATGGAAAGATTTGATTAAAGGGAGGAAGGAAGAATATCAAAGAGGCTGGAATCTGAGAAATGTAGACTTATGACAATGTGGAAGGAGGTGGGATGTGTGGGGGCACTGTTTGTAAAGTTGGAGGAGATTCTAGAGAGAGAGAGAGCATGGGATGTGCTGTGATGTTATGGTGTAGTTTAAACAAGATGGGAATCTTAAATTTGAGGCACAGAGCAATTTACTTACTTTAGGTCAACAAGGGTATAGGTGCTGAGAAGGTCAGATTTAGGGGATGAGATATGATGAATAGCCTTTTAATATTTATGTAGAATGATTTGTGGCTAGGGGACTAATTTGTGTTCGTTTATTCACTTGACAGCTCTGTTGTCTGTGCAAGTGCAATGAACTTGTGATACCAACACTCGAAATATAATGCCTGTGCCTCGAACATCACTCTGAAATTTGTAATTGTGTTTTTAAAAAATAGTGACCAAAATTATATATTGATCACTTCTACTTCAGCCAGTTTCTTTCCCATATAAGTCATTCACATGGTTCATTGCAAGTATTAGAAATGCTAGAGTTGCTTTCTTGAATAGCTATGGTTGAAGAACCCTGTAGTATTTGAAAATAGCGGTAATGGTAATTAGTTGGAGAACTAATAAATCAAATAAAAGCTACAATATAATAAATATTTGTTTCATTTTGTACAGTCATATGAAGAAATGTGCATCTGTTTACTGTGCCAGATATTTGGTGTTAAGTGAATCGTTTAAAATATAACAAAAATAAATTGGAAATTCTTTATTATAGTGGTACATGGTGACTATTGTACATATTTACAATCGTTGGAAGAACAGCGAGATCCGGTGCTATGTGAATGGTGAACTGGCTTCTTTTGGAGAGATTACATGGCTTGTGAATACTAGTGATGTAAGTAGCAGTATAAAATTGCAACTTGAAAACCTTCCGATTATTTAGGGGTCAGTTCATGAATTTTTTGTTCAAATTTAAATTTTTTTAAACTATGTTTACCTGAATTCTGTTGCTTCAATTCTGCATATTCCTGGTGACATTTCATAACATTGCAATGGAAATCACACCATTGGAAAAACTTTTAATGGTTTAAAGACCTGTTAAATTCTTGGTTCCCACTTTTGAAAGTTAATTCATTTCGAACTCATCAGTGGCTGAGTGAATAGATCCCAGTCCATAGATACTTTCACAATTACTGCTCTGTTTTCTTGCTGCATCGTTTTGATTCATTAAAAAAAACATGATAGATCAGTTCCTTGAGTGCAAATGTCTCTTGGAACTGGAATTTAAGCTTAGGTCTCCCAGTGATGTAATCATAATTCTGGTTTTCTATTTATTGGCCTTATTTCTTTTGCAAGATGGAAATATGTTGATAATAAAAATTAGATATTTAATTTAATAGTATGTCTACGGGAGTATTTTGAGGCAATTTTGGAATTGATTCTTAATTATTTTCAAGTAACAGTATGGTAAGATGTGCTTTTCTTCCTTTTTTGACTTTTCTTAAAAAAAATTTGCAATAGCTGGAACCTGAGAATTTCCAAAAGTGTGCAAAATATTTTTACACAAAAGTAAAGATTTTAAAATTTCAAATTGAGTTGAAGACGAACATGTTTCACTAGTAAATTGCTTAATCTTTTCTGCTAACTTAAAGATTGTGCACTTGAGCCAAGTGAATCTAGTAAACGTGAAATATCTGAAATTGAAATAGTTCATCTAATTCATGAATTGCAAAAGGGTTTTGGTATCTCTTTCCTAGACTTTTTCCTAGGGTGGAGGTAGCTATTACAAGGGGGCGTAGTTTTAAAGTGAGTGGAGGTAGGTATAGGGGAGATGTCAGATGTAGGTTCTTCACTCAGAGAGTGGTAGGGGCGTGGAATGCATTGCCGGAGAGGGTAGTGGAGTCGGCCTCATTAGGGGCATTTAAGCGGCTATTAGATAGGCATATGGATGATAGTATAAAGTAGGGGTGGACGTTAGATAGACCTTAGGTTTAGGGTAAAAGTTTGGCACAACATCGTGGGCCGAAGGGCCTGTACTGTTCTGTGTTCTACCTCAGATGTATTTGAATGTCCGGTTCACATTATTTTCATAATACAAGTGTTTCTTGAGAAGAAAATATACTACTTGTGCTAGCTTCTTCATTGCTGAAAATATACCTTCACTATTTTGAGTGAAGCATTGTTTGGGCTAGCATGATAGTTTGGTGTATGCTGAGTGCAGAGTAGTTGTTGAAATCCTCGTCATTCAAGATTATAGTCCCCTAACTGAAAATCATGCCTCCGTCCTTGTTCCCTCTTTGGATTAGTCTAAGTTTGAAGGATGTTCCTGAAATTGGGGTCTCGGTATAAAGGTACAGGGTATTCCATTTTGGACTGAAACAGGGAGAAATGTCTTTGACCAGAGAGTGGTGGACCTATTGAATTCTCTACTGCAAAGTGGTTGGGCCAAAACATTGAATGTTTTCAAGGAGTTAGATATTTGTCCTTCGGGCTAAATTGATCAAAGAGTACAAGGAGAAAGTGGGAACAGAGTACTGAGCTGGATGATCAGCCATGACCATGTTGAATGGTGGAGTAGGCTCAAAGGGCTGAATGACTTAGTAGGCTCAAAGGGCTGAATGACTTAGTCCTACTTTCTGTGTTTCTGGGAATTCCTTTACCTACATAATTACTTTCTCCCAATATATGACACAATATAGGTTCTGAAAGTCAGGAAGTATTTTGTTGTACTAAGGAGGATTATCTCTCTAAGAGTAAACCACTTGCACAAATGATTGTATACTTACAAAAAACCTGATCTTGTTCAGGCATAAAGGAAATAGAACACCAGTAGTTTAAAAACAATTGCATGCTACACACTCTTTTTCTTGCCACATTTACAAAAAGATGTATAAAAAGGCTAAAGTGTCCATGTATATGCCATGTAAATGATATCACATACAATTGTAGTATGTCTATTACTCAATATATAAGCAACTACCCACATGTGGCTGGTGGATAATGTATTGGACAACCGAGTCCTTGTATGCATCTAATTCTTTATCATAAATTACTGCTTCTCAAACTCTTTCTCACTGGACCCCATTTTGTAGCTTAAATTGTTTTAACTCCTCTGAGAAACCTGAGAACTGAGTAGTAGGGTCTGTCTGTGTGGAGGGTGACTTAGAGCTTGACAGCAGCCATTGCTGTATTGGAGCTTGCAATGCCAAGTTTTCAGCTTGTGATCCCTCTTGGGTCCTGGCTCCCACTTTAGAAGCATTGCCATAAATAATAGTATCATTAATTCTGTTACCACTTGGTGAGCAGTTATTTGTCCGGTTAATTTGAAGAATGATGTGTTTTCTCCCAGGATATCTTATGGGTTAAAGTGAAGCAATTTTTTTTAGGTTAAAAATTGTTGACAAAATTACAACATACCATGTGTGCGGTTCACAGAAGTATTGCTTAGACTCAGTGAGATTTGATTCCTAAATTAATTCTAAATGTATAAAATATTTCCTAATTAATAGTAATTTTTATGGACTGTGGTTATCCTTTACACACTAATCCCCCAATCTGATTACCTTTGTGCTACTAACAGGAAAAATGCATGGAATGTAGTACCTGTACAACTATGTTAAAGATTTAGTTGAGAAAATGCCCTTCATACCAGAGAAATATAGAAGGTCACATGAAATAATGTGGCTTATCAAATGCTAAAACATCCTTACAAACAATTAGTTTTGTAAATTACCATCTTAAGAAATGAGAATTTGAGTGAAGTCCAAAATGTACACATTAATAACTTTATAATTTTAATCTGTTTATATTTTCAGACATTTGATAAATGTTTCCTTGGATCTTCAGAAACAGCAGATGCGAACAGAGTATTCTGTGGGCAACTTGGAGCAGTTTATGTCTTTGCTGAAGCTCTAAATGCAGCACAGATATTTGCAATATATCAACTTGGCCCTGGATACAAGGTATTCTAATGTGAGAATGTGGTTTAAAGATGACTGACATATTTCATTTTTGAGATGAGTCACTAGTCTGACTGTCTGTTAATGAGTGTTTACTTACTGTAGAATTCAATTCAAATGCAACTCTTAATGGTTTGGATTAACATCAGATTTATAAGACTTGTTAAAGTTAATATTTTTGGTCTCATTGTGCTGTCAAAGAATATTTACAGGGTGAAATGTAAGCTTTATTTAAGAACTTCTTACTGTGGCTTCTTACAGAAAGCAGCTAGAGAGTTAGATCGTGTGACATGGCATCATTTCCAGTGTTATATGCCCATTCGTTAGCATGTAGTCAGACATAGCTTGTTACACTCGGATGCTGCAAATGCTGGAGTCAGAGTCAACGCAGTGTGGAGCTGGAGGAACACCGCTCAGGCAGCATCAGAGGAGTAGGAAAGTCGATGTTTCGGGTTGGGACCCTTCTTTAGAAGTGGGGATGGGGAAGGGATTTTGGAAATAAATAGGGTGAAGAGGGACGGTGCTAGGTGGATGCAGGTAGGGGGTGATGGGGATTGGTCAGTGGGAAGGATGGGGTGGATAGGTGGGAGAGAAGATAGACAGTTTGTGTCCGGTCAAGGAGGCGGGGATGAGAGGGAAGTTTGGACATGGGATGGGGCTGGGGCTGGGGAGATTTTAAAACTGGTGAATTCTATGTTCAGGCCATCGGGCTGTAGGCTCCCGACGTGGAATATGAGGTGTTGCTCCTCCAGTTTGTGTGTGGTGTCATTGTGACTCTGGAGGAGGCCTACGATGGACATGTCATCAAGGGAGTGGGAGGGGGAGTTAAAATGGTTAGTGACTGGAAGGTGTTGTCGATCATCGCATACAGAGCGCAGATGCTCCATGAAACGGTCCCTAAGTCTGCGCTTGGTCTCACCAATGTACAGGCGGCCACATGAGGGGCAACGGATACAGTAAACCAGGTTGGAAGATGTACAGGTGAATCCCTGTCGGATATGGAAAGTTTGCTTTGGGCCTTGGATGAAGATGAAGGGAGGAGGTGTAGGGGTAGGTGTAGCACTTCCTGCGGTTGTGGGGAAAGGTGCCGGGTGTGGTGGGGTTAGTGGGGAGAGTGGAGTGGACGAGGGAGTCGTGGAGTGAGTGGTTCCTACGAAAGGCAGATAGGGGTGGAGAGGGAAATATCGTTTTGGTCTTGGGGTTGGATTGTTGGTGGCAGAAGTGGCGGACGATGATATGCTGGATGCGGAGGTTGGTGGGGTGGTATGTGAGGACCAGGGGGACTCTGTCTTTATTTTTGGGGGAGGGGTTTTGAGGGCAGAAGTGTGGGAACCGCAAGACATGCCGTTGAGGGCATTTTTGATCACTGGCAGGGAAAGTTATGGTCCTTGAAATAGGAGGACATCTGGGATGTCTGGGAGTGGAACGCTCCACCTTGGGAGCAGATGCGACAGAGGTGGAGGAATTGGGAGTATGGGATCACATTCTTGCAGGAAGGTGGGTGAGAGGATGTGTAGTCAAGGTAGCTATGGGAGGCGGTGGCTTTGATATAGATGTTAATGTTGAGGTGGTTACCAGAGATGGAGGCGGAGAAGGAGGTATCGGAGATGGTCCAGATGAATTTGGGGTTGGGGTGAAAGTTGTTAATAAAGTTGACGAACTGTTCAAGTTCCTCATGGGAGCATGAGACCGCACTGATTATAGTCATCAGTGTAACGGAGGGAAAAGTGAGGAATGTTGCTGGTGTAACAGCAGAAAAGGGACTGTTCCATGTATCCTACAAAGAGGCAGGCATAGCTCGGATCCATACGGGTGCCCATAGCCACCCACTTAGTTTGTAGAAAGTGGGAGGAGTTAAAGGAGAAGCTGTTCCGGAAAAGGACAAGTTCTGTTAAGCAGATGAGGGTGTTAGTGAATGGGAACTGGTTGGGTCTGCGGGAGAGGAAGAAGCGGAGGGCTTTTAGGCCATCTTCATTGGGGGGATAAACGTGTACAGGGATTGGATGTCCATAGTGAAGATGAGGTTTTTGGGGGCCAGGGAATTGGAAGTCTTGGAGGAGGTGGAGGGCGTGAGTGGTGTCCCGGACACAGGTGGGGAGTTCCTGGATGGGGGTAAAAACAGAGCCAAGGTAAGCAGAGATGAGTTCAGTGGGGCAGGAGCAGGCAGAGACAATGGGTCGGCTGGGGAAGTCAGGTTTGTGGATTTTGGGAAGGAGATAGAAACGGGCGGTGTTGGGTTGGGGAACTATGAGGTTGGAGGCTGTGGGCGGGAGGTGACCTGTGGTGATGAGGTTATGAATGGTCTGAGAGATGATGGTTTGGTGATAATGGGTAGGGTCATAATCGAGGGGGCAGTAGGAGGAGCTGTCAGAGAGTCGGCGCCTGGCCTCAGCGATGTAGAGGTCAGTGTGTCATACCAGTACTGCACCCCTGCCCCTCCCCTCCCCTCCCCTCCCCAATCCACGGGTTTAATGGTGAGGTTAGGGAGGAAGTGGAGGGCTGTGCATTCCGTTGGGGAGTGGTTATGACCCCGATCACCAAACCATCATCTCACAGACCATTCATAACCTCATCACCTTGGGTGACCTCCCACCTACAGCCTCCAACTTCATCGTTTCCCAACCCCACACTGCCTGTTTCTGTCTCCTTCCCACACTGGTGGATGACTAGAGAAACTGAGGTTTTGGTCAAGAAAAAGAAGGAAGCATATATCAAGTATAGACAGCAGAGATCGAGTGACTCCTTAGAAGAGTACAACGGCAGTAGGAGTACACTTATGAGGAAAATGAGGGCAAAAAGGGGACATAGCCTTAGCAAATAGGTTTAAGGAGAGTCCAAAGGGATTTTATAAATACATTAAGGACAAAAGGGTAACTAGGAAGAGAATAGGGCCCCTTAAGCGGCTCTGCTGATCTTTGTGTGGAACCGCAGGAGATGGGGGAGATACTAAATCAGTATTTTTCATCAGTGTTTATTGTGGAGAAGAATATGGAAGATGTAGAATGTGAGAAATAGATAGCAGCAACTTGAAAAATGTCCATATTACAGAGGAGGTGGTGCTGGACGTCTTAAAACACATAAAGGTGGATAAATCCCTGGGACCTGATTGGGTGTACCCTAGAACTGTATAGGAGGTTAGGGAAGTGATTGCTGGGCCCTTTGCTGAGATATTTGTATCATTGATTGACGCAGATAAGGTGCCGGAGGCCTGGAGGTTGGTTAAAGTGGTGGTACTATTTAAGAAAGGTGGTAAGGAAAAGCCAAAGAACTATATAGCAGTGAGCCTGACATTGATGGTGGGCAAGTTGTTGGAGGGAATCCTGAGGGACAGGATTTACATGTATTTGGAAAGGCAAGGACTGATTATGGATAGTCACCATGGCTTTGTGTGTGGGAAATCATAACTCACTAACTTGATTGAGTTTTTCAAAGAAGTAATAAAGAGGATTGATGAGGGCAGAATGGTGGATGTGATCTGTATGGACTTCAGTAAGCCGTTCGACATGGTTCCACGTGGCAGACTGGTTAGCAAGGTTAGATCACATGAATTACAGGGAGAACTAGCCATTTCGATGCAGAACTGGCTCGAAGGTAGGAAGACAGTGGGTAGTCATGGAGGATTGCTTTTCAGACTGGAGGCCTGTTACCAGCAGTGTGCCACAAGGATCGGTGCTGGGTCCATTGCTTTTCGGCATTTATATAAATAATTTGGATGTGAACACAGGCCGTATGGTTAGTAAGTTTGCAGATGACACCAAAATTGGTGTTGTGGTGGACAGCAAAGAAGTTTACCTCCGAGTACAACGGGATCTTGATCGAATGGGCGCGGAGTGGCAGATGGAGTTCAATTTAGATAAATGTGAGGTGCTGCGTTTTGGAAAGGCAGATCAGGGCAGGACTTGTACCCTTAATGGTAAGGTCCTGCAGAGTGTTGCTGATCAAAGAGACCTTGGAGTGCAGATTCATATTTCCTTGAAAGTAGAGTTGCAGGTAGATAGAATAGTGAAGAAGGTATTTGGTATGCTTGCCTTTATTGGACAGTGCATTGAGTATAGGATTTTGGAGGTCATGTTGCTGCTGTACAGGACATTGGTTAGGCCACTTTTGGAATACTGTGTACAATTCTGGACTCCCTGCTATAGGGAGGATGTTATGAAACTCGAAAGGGTTCAGAAAAGATTTACAAGGATGTTGCCAGGATTGGAGGATCCGAGCTGTAGGGTGAGGCTGAATAGGCTGAGGTGATTTTCCCTGGAGCGTTGGAGGCTGAAGGGTGACCTTACATAGGTTTATAAAATCCTGAGGGGCATGGATAGGGTAAATTGACAAGGTGGGGGCGTCCAAACTATGCCCTCTAGTTTTGGGAGCCGAAAACTAGAGGGCATAGGTTTAAGGTGAGAGGGGAAAGATTTAAAAGGGACCTGAGGGGCAAATTTTTCATGCAGTGGGTGGTGCATATATGGAATGAGCTGCCAGAACAGGTTGTGAAGGCTGGTACGAATACAACATTTAACAGGCACCTGGATGGATACATGAATAGGAAGGGTTTAGAGGATATGGGCCAAATTCTGGCAAATGGAACTAGATTTACCTAGGATATCTGGTCAGCATGGACAAATTAGACCGAAGGGTCTGTTTCCATGCTGTACATCGCTATGACTCTATAACTGATCCACATCCATCTGCCTCTATTTTGAGGTCATAATCCGAAAGTATCTGTATTGTACACGTTTATTACAGGCGACCAGATGATAAGTCCTCAAAGTTTTGGAAGTAATTGTTAAGGCTATCAATGACAAATTGTATTGATATAGTATGTTTAGTGTTAGTAATGTTTCTTGAGATGTCACAGACTGGAGTTTTCCAAACAAAATTTGACACAGCCACTTAAGATGATTTTACGGCAGAAAGCTTAAGGCTTGGTCAAGGAAGTAGATTGAAGAATGTATGAAAGGAGGAAAATGGATGAGAATTGTTCAGAGTTTGGGAGAGAATTCCCTAAAGATGTTTCTACTTGTGTGGAAATCCAAAACTTGGGACTATAATTATGATAGTTATTAATAAATTGAAAGAGATACAAGTGAAATTTCCTTGCACGCAGTAGTGACAGTGCAGAATTTGCATCGTGATGAGCGATTGGTGCAAATAGCCCAGAAGTGTTCAAGGCCATATTAAATAAATACGTGAGCATTGAAGGAGTAGAAAGATACAATGAGAGGGTGAAATTAAATGTAGTGTATGGAGAGTCTTATGGAGCAAATAAACAATACAGACCTGTTTTAAATAGATGAATTCTCTGCTATTAATTCTTTGTCATATTATAGGATTGATAAACCTGGCCTATTTATTATGTATGCAACTCTTTGCAATACCACTGTTTCATTCCTGGAATCTTAATTAAGTTTTGTATGTTTTTATTGATAAGTTTGTGGTGCTGTAGACCAAATTTAGGATTTGACGAGCCCTTGCAAGACATTGCAGCATGAACCCTGAGCTGTAAGTCAGTTCTCAGCAATGCAATTTGGTGTCAGGCGGAAATTTTGTTGTTCGCCCAAAGTTCAGAAGGAAAATACTGTGGATGATGGAAATCTGAAATAACTACGAAAACAAAAATATAAACCGAGCACTCACTAGCACTTTGTATTTTCATTTCAGAAGTGATACTTGTTCCTAATTTTATGCAGGTTAGTCTTTTGTAACATTGCAGTATATGTAATAAATCCACAGTAATTGGATTTCACATTTTGTTGGGCTGTCAGTAGAGATGGTACAATTTCCAAATTTGAATGCCTGCTTAAGCTGTGGGAGATGAGTTGATTTGTATTAGTAAGTAAGCTTTGGCATAACTTCATGCAGTGAGTTGTGTTTCTGAATTGCAATTTCTTTGCTTTTTTGCAGGGGACATTTAAATTCAAGGCAGAAAGTGACCTCCTACTTGCTGAGCACCACAAGTCACTGCTTTATGATGGCAAATTGTCTAGTAGTATTGCATTCACATACAACCCAAAGGCCACAGATGCTCAGCTCTGTCTAGAATCATCCCCAAAGGATAATCCATCTATTTTTGTGCATTCCCCACATGCTCTAATGCTTCAGGTAAAATCAAAATTCATTTGAGTACTATATAAAACTGGTAAAGAATGCCGTAAATATTTTTTATGTTGAGAAATATCTAATTAACCACATCAGAAAGATAAACAATGTTGGATAAACGCTAGTTAGACAGCATCTGTAGAGAGAGAAACAGTTCGAAGATGACTCTTATTTGGAAGTCATATTAGATTTGAAAAATTTACTCTAATGTTTCTCTCCCTATAGATGTTGCCTGACCTGAATTTCTCCGGCATTTTCTGTTATTATTTTCATATTTCCTGCATGCACAGTATTTTGCTCTTATTTTATGTGACGTCTGCAAGTTGGGAATATTATGGACAAATACTTACATTGAACTGTCTTAAATGATGGAATAAGTTCTTTCTCTAAGTGAAATTAACTATTTTTACACGATTCAGTTACTTGGGAAACAATTTGCATGTGAATTTTAATGTTCTGGACCAGCATCAATTGCACAACTTCATTTTATGATTTTGTTGCTACTTTAAGTACTGAATATTTAAAAGACAAAATTTGGATTTAGTTTTCAGTCCATACTAATGATCTATTTATATGAAAAAATGTTCAGATTCCAAGTTTGATACTCATTGAAGGCTTTTGCCAAACTGGAAAAGGCCATAATGAAGTTAGAACTTCTGGAATTATAAAAAAAAGTTGTTACAATAAGTTCTTAGCATTTAAGAAAAAAACTGATAAAATTATAATCATATTAAATCACTTTGTTTTTACTGCTTTATCTAGTTTTAAGAACATCCATATTAACACTTTCCTCTTCCATTTCCAAAATATTTTCATCAAGGTGCAAGTATAAAGTTCATCTTTGGAGATTTTGATTTAAAATTTCTTTTAATAGGATGTCAAAGCTGTTGTAACACATTCTGTACAAAGTGCCATACATTCAATTGGTGGCATCCAGGTGCTTTTCCCATTATTTGCGCAGCTTGATTACGGTCAGTATTCTTCTGACCAAGTTGACAGCACAGTTTGGTAAGTAACTCTAAGTTGTATTGCTTCCTATTCTGGGGTTGATTGTTCATTATCCCAAGGATACTGTGACAAATTATCAGTGGAATTCAAGAAATTTGCAGCTCAAAAGGGTGTAATTTGACTTGTCAAACATGTGTTGGCTCTTTGAAGCAGCAGTTGTGCTTAAGCTGTATTTTCATTGTAACCTTGTAAATTTCTCAATCTCCAGGACCTGTTCAACTCTTTTTCTTAAAACAAAAAGTGCCCAATTAGTTTCTTCCAAATTCCATATTTTTTAAATTAAAAATTCTCTCATCTCCCTTTAGATCTTTTTCCAATGATATTGAATCTTTGACCTCAGATCTTGACCTTCTGCCAGAGGGAATTTTTTTCCCCTCACCTTAATTTATGAAAACCTCTCATCATCTTGAAAACTTCCATAACTTAAAGTACCTTCAAAGAGAACAGACTCCACCTTTTCAGCTTTCACCCCTAACTGAAGTCCCACATCCGCGCTAACATCCTGGTAAGCCTGCTTTGTACCCTTTCTAATGCTTTTACATTTTTGCTGGTATGGTACTCTGGTTTGTCTACAATACAACAGCTGAGGCCTAATCAGTGATTTATGGTTCTGAAATGATTTTTTATTTATTTGTTCATGAGATATGGGCCTCCATGGCTCAGCCAGCATTTATTGTCCATTCCTAATTGCTTTTGAGAAGATGGTGTCACTTTGGTGCATCTGGGAGGTTTAGATCTTTGTTGATAACACATTTATAGCAATTTCCTGTGTGAATGTCACTATCCATCCAGTATTCATCTGGGGAGTGGAAGAAGAGCTATGAGAGTGTGGGTCGAGGGAGTGGGAAGGAGAAAGAGACATGCATGATTGGAAGAGCGATAGTGATGAAAGGACTTGATAGTTAAGGGAATTGACTGCATTTTCTGCAACTGATTCCAGTCTCATGTTGCCTCCTTGATATCATGGTCAAGGACGTTACCGAGTGACTGCATGCCACTCTGAGAAAGGAAGGGAAAATGGTAGTGGGCATGGCCTGTGTCTGTAGCCACGATTCAGGTAAAAAGAGAAACGTGGTTATGCAGCTGGAGCTCAGGTAGCTCAAAAGAAAATTGGTGGGCAGAACCTTGAAGGTGGTAATCTTTGTATTACTCCTGGCTGCATCATGCTTAAGTGAGTATAGAATTGGGAAAGTACAGCAGATGAATGAGTGGCTGGAGAGATGGTGCAGGAGAGGGGCCTTTAGATTCTTGGGACATTGGGACAGTTCAGGAGGAGATAGAATGTGTACAGACTAGAAGATTACTCCTGAGTAGAGTGAGGAAGAATATTTTTGTGGCATGATTTGTCAGTGGTATTGGGACAGATCTATACTAACTTGGAAAAGGTGTGAAAGCTAGGAGTTAATGAGTGAGAACTCAAACTGCCCCAGAAATTGGGCGAAAAAGCTAGTGTGAAAGTTGGAAATAGAATTGTATTAGATGGCTTAGGATAAAAGGGAATATAACATTGTCTGAGTTAGTTACCGTGGATGTATGCGAAAAGTTTAGTAAATAAGGTTGGTTAGCTGTAAGGACGTATAATCACATGGAGATATGGTGTTGCGATAATGGAATGGCTAAAGAGCTAAATATTCCTGGATACAAGAAATTTCAGGGAAGATAGATAACAAAAGGGATAAAAAAGGAGGAATGGTATTGATTGATAAGGTTGCAGTGCAGAAGATAGTGGATGTCCCAGAGGGGTCAAGGACAGAATCTATTTGGTTGAAGAAACCACAAGGATGCAATTACATCGTATGCATATTCAATAGGCCACAAACCTGAGAAAAGTAGAGGAACAGGGTAAGAAGTTGCAGCATAGTACAAGAACTATGGAGTTGATATAAATGGGGGTTATTACTATTCCAGTCTACATTAGGATTATTAATGTAAAGGACAGAGAGGGGCAAGAGTTCCAAAACCCCACTCAGGAGAATTTTCACTATCAGTATGTTTCTAGGCCAGTGATCAAGGATTCATTTCTGGATTTTGTCTTGGGAATGAGATGGGTCAAGTGGATCAATTGTCAGTATTTAGGAGATAGAGATCATTGTATTGTAAGGTTGAGGTTGGCTGTGGAAAAAGACAATGATCAATCCAGTGTAAAAAGAGTTAAATGGGGGAAAACCAACTTGATGGAGATGAGAATAGCTCTGTCCTGGATAAACTGGCATCAAAGATGAATAGAGAAAACCTTAACTGAAAATTTGTTGCATTTAAAAGAGGTGATAATTCAGGTTCAGTAAATCATAAGACTGAAAAGTCCAGCAAATAAATTCAGAGCTCTTTAGATGATGAAGGAGATGGTGATTAAGATGAAGAAGAAAAAGGGTGCTGTGTCAATTGTATTATTTACCAGACATTTGCCAAATGGTTCATTCTAGAAGATTTAATAGGGAATTGGAAATAAACAAATAAGAATGGCTAAAACAGAGTATGAGAAGAAACTGGTAGATAACATAAAAAGGAATCCAAAGGCGACTCTTGTAAAAGACATGAGATGATTAGGAACCTAAAGGGAGATTTGGCATGAAGGCAGAACTGCAGAATTTTCCATCTGTTTTATGAGGGAAGAGAATGCTGCCCAAGTTACGCTGAAAAATGAAGTAGTTCAGACATTTATGGCCAAAAAATGACAATGAGGAGGTATTAAGAAGGATGGTTGTGTTTAAATTTCGTATGTCACTCAGACTGGATAATTTGCAACCAAAGATACGGAGGGATGTATGGGTGAAAATTCTTGAGGCCCTGACCATCATTTTCCAATCCTCCTCAAATCCTTCTTGGGTATGGTGCCAGAGGATTAGAGAATTATAAATGTTTGATACCCTTTCTCAAAAGAAGGTGCAAGTTGGACCTAGTAACTCCAAACTAGTCAGTTTAACTTCAGTGGTGAGAAAGATTTTACGATAATTTAGATCAAAATTATAAGTCACTTAGACAATGCGTAAAGCCAGCATGGAATTAAGTGCCAATCATGTTCAACTAACTTGCTGAGTTTTTTGGTAATGTACCAGAGTTGCTAGATAGGGGTAATGTGGTATACAAGGACTTGAAAAAGGCATTTGATAAAGCTCTGTAGAGCAGACCTGTGAGCAAATTTAGAGCTCATGGAGTAAAAAGGGACCGATGCTAAGTTGGCCAAATAATGGGGAAGAGAGTTCTGAGAGAGCAGTTGTTTTGTTTTTTAGTCTACAGATACATTATGTGGGGTTCCCAAAGGATTGTTGTTAGGCTCTATGCTCTATATTTATGACCTAGACTTTGGTGTTCAATATACTATTTCAAAATGGATGGACGGCATGAAGTTTGGAAGTATTGAGAGCTGTGTGGAGGACAGTGTTAAACTCAAAAGGATGTAGGCTGGTTGGTGGAATTAGCAGAAAAATGGCAGGTGAAATTTAAAGCATAAGTGATTCATTTTATTAGGGACTGTGAGTAAGGCAATTGAAAGGGTACAACTGGGGAGTCAAAACATTATTTTTATTCTGAAAGCTCCTCTTGAGTTATAAGAAGAGATATTTGTGTTGAAATTGTAGAAAAACCTAATTCTTTTTCATCTGGCAAATTGTGTTCCATTTTGGACACTAAGCTGTGGGAAGGACGTGAATGCATTTGAGGGCTCAAAAGGAAAAGATGGTCTGGGGATAAGGAGCTTCATCTTTCATGAGTAACATCATCTAACCCCTTGAGTTACAACAAAGTGCAAAACAAAAATCTTCAACAAAATGTTTGCAGCAGTGCTCAAGTTCTGTACTAACAACTGACAACTTTGGTTATGTAGATAACTTGAGAAACTGGGCTGTTCTTGTTAGGGAAGCAGGTTTTGAGGAGATTTGACAAGGGTGTGTAGGATCTTGAACAGACTGAATAAAGAGATACTGTCTACGTTGGTAGCAGGATTCAATACAGAGGTCATTGAGTTGAGCCAATTTACAAAATGAGCAATGAGAGATGAGAAAATGTTCTTTTTATAGTAACGAATTAGGATCTCACATGCATTATTGAGAGTGTAGCAGGGATAGATTCAGTCATGGCTTTCAGAAGAGAATTAGACCTTAGCTGAAGAAGAAATAGTTGAACAGGCATGGGGAAAAATACAGAAGATGACTTGCTCTTGAAGAGAGCTGCTATCGCTGTAACAGGCTGAAGAGCTTCCTTCTATTTTCAGTCATTTACAAAGATCACATCATTTTGCTTACTGTGTTTTGATTGTGGACTAAGATGGGAAAAAAGGTTTGTTACTTCCAAAAGGCCTTCGACAAGGTGCCGCACAAGAGGCTACTGCATAAGATAAGGGTGCATGGCATTAAAGGTAAAGTATTAGCATGGATAGAGGATTGGTTGACTAACAGGAAGCAAAGAGTGGGGATAAATGAGTGCTATTCTAGCTGGCAGTCAGTGACTAGTGGTGTGCCTCAGGGATCGGTGTTGGGACTGCAATTATTTACAATTTATATAGATGACTTGGAGTTGGGGACCACGTGTAGAGTGTCAAAGTTTGCAGATGACACTAAGATGAGTGGCAAAGCAAAGTGTGCAGAGGACTGTGAAACTTTGCAGAGGAACATAGATACATTGAGTGAGTGGGCAAAGGTCTGGCAGATGGAATACAATGTAAATAAATGTGAAGTCATACATTTTGGTAGGAGTAATAGTAAAAAGGATTATTACTTGAATGGTAAAAAGTTGCAGCATGCTGCTATGCAGAGGGACCTGGGTATCCTTGTGCATGAATCACAGAAGGTAGGTCTGCAGGTACAACAAGTAATTAGGAAGGCAAATGGAATTTTGTCCTTCATTGCTAAAGGGATTGAAATAAAAAGCAGAGAGGTTATGTTGGAGCTGTACAAGGTGCTGGTGAGGCCACACCTGGAGTACTGTGTGCAGTTTCGGACTCCTTACTTGAGAAAGGATGTACTGGCACTGGAGGGGGTGCAAAGGAGGTTCACTAGGTTGAT